ATGGTAGATGACAACATTGAAGACTACTCTCATCAGATTGCAGAAATGATTGGTTTAAGAAACGAATCATATCTAGTTCAAGCTGGAGTAAGTCAAACTTTGACTATTTGTTATAGATTCATTTCCACTTATGGTGAAAATGATATTTTTTTTTTCAGGTGAGAAGTGTATTAGATATAGGGTGTGGCTATGGTAGTTTAGGAGCACATTTATTCCCAAAACAAGTGTTAACAATGTGTATTGCAAACTATGAGGCTTCAGGGAGTCAAGTTGAAATAGCTCTTGAAAGAGGTCTTCCTGCAATGATTGGTTCTTTTGCTTCAAAACAGTTGCCATTTCCTTCTCTTTCATTTGACATGATACACACTGCATGGGATGGTGTTGAATGGGATAAAAAAGGTATTTAATTTTTCATCATTTCTTAAAAGATTTATGAAATCTTGAATTGAAAAAGGTGACTTTTTGTTACATTACAGATGGTGTACATTTGATAGAAGTGGATCGAGTTTTGAGACCTGGTGGATACTTTGTATGGACATCAGCATATGCTAATACTCAAGCGCGTGATAAACAGAATTTAAAAAGATGGGATTTTGTGCGTAATTTTGCTAAAGATTTATGTTGGGATTTGTTATCTCAACAAGATAAAACAGTTGTGTGGAAAAAACCTAGCAAGAAAACATGTTATGCTTCTAGGTATATCTTCTTTATATCTTTATACCACATGATATATTATATATCCAATAAATTATAAAAAAAAACATGAAATTGTGAGTGATGTGCATATTTAATATCTTTTACCCGTAATAGCATCACAATTACTCACATTTCTTTAACCCAAAACTTGTAAAATGCTTACAAGTTTCATTTTAACTTTTATATAGGGTTAATCTCACAAAAGACATTATATTTTGTGTTTTTTATTTTTTTTTCCCAAAAAAGACCTTGTACTTTTTCATTTTGCCCAAAAAAACCCCTCAACTTTGTAATTTTTTTTTCGAAAAAAACCCCTCAAACCTTCTTATTGTTTCCGAATAAATCCTCAACTTTTTTATTTTTTCCCAAAAAACCCTCAGCTTTGTGTTTTTTTTTCCCGAAAAAAATCCTCAACCTTCTTACTGTTTCCAAATAAACCCTCAAGTTTTTTAGTTTTTCCCGAAAAAACCCTCACATCTTACAACTTTTTTCGGTACAAAAAAAAAAAAAAAAAAAAAAACCAAATTGGAAAAAATGAAAAACTCCGAGGTCTTTTTCATGAAAAAAATAAAGTTAAGGTTTAATCCGGAAAAAACACAAAATATAAGGTCTTTTATGAGATTAAACCCTTTTATATATTACTATTTTTAGTAAAGAGATAAAATTACATTCCTATTTTGGGTATAAAAGTAAAGTAGATTGTCTAATATTAAAAAAAAAAAAAGAGTAAAGTAGGTTGCTATTTTGTGATGAATAGGAAACATGGATCGGGTCCTTTAATCTGCAAAGAGGGGCATGATGTAGAATTACCATATTACCACCCACTCGAATCATGCATTGGAGGAACTCGTAGCCATAGATGGATTCCCATTGAAGAAAGGTCAACATGGCCTTCTAGAGCTTCACTAACCTCCAAAGAACTTTCAGTTCACGGTATTAACTTTATATAATCTTTTATTATTTGAAATTTCAAAAAAAAAAAAAAAAAAAAAATGAAAATATTATATCATATAATGACAGGTGTACTTCCGGATGATTTCATGGAAGACAACTTAAACTGGAGGTCATTAGTTAGAGACTACTGGTCTCTACTTTCTCCATTGATATTTTCAGATCACCCAAAAAGACCCGGTGATGAAGACCCTATTCCACCTTACAACATGCTCCGGAATGTTCTAGATATGAACGCCCATTTTGGTGGTTTTAATTCCGCTTTATTGGATGCTAAAAAATCTGTTTGGGTTATGAATGTGGTCCCCACAACCGGGGTCAACCATCTTCCTCTTGTCCTTGACCGGGGTTTCGTAGGCGTATTACATGATTGGTATGTTTTTTTTTCTTTTTGTATCGAATTAATTTTTTTTTTTCGATAAAAATGTTTGTTATTGTCGTCAATTTGTTTATGTTGTTATTTTAGGTGTGAAGCGTTTCCAAGTTACCCTAGGAGTTATGATATGGTGCATGCTGATGGACTTTTAAGCCTTGAAACAAAGAAACAGTCTCGTTGCAGTTTGCTTGATCTTTTCTTTGAGATAGATCGGTTACTCCGCCCAGAGGTATATATATATATTTTTTATTTTATTATTTTTTTAGTAAAAATGATGGGGTAGTTTTGAATTTTAATATTTATTTTTTGTAAAATGAAATGAAGGGGTGGGTGATACTACGTGACACGTCAGCGCTGATTGAATCAGCTAGAGGCATCACGGCTAAATTAAAATGGGAAGCAAGAGTGGTGGAAATCGACAGTAATAATGACGAAAAACTCCTTGTGTGCCAAAAACCCTTTTTAAGGAGCCAAATAAACACAATATGATATGATATAATCACGTTTTCGATATTTTTTATTCGTTCAGATAACTTTTGGGCAGAAGAAGAAAGCCTGAAGGGACTGAAGAGAAAAATAGAGTTGTCTGATCAAAGGACTAAAAAAGCTCCCTATATGCAGCAGACAGGGGTGTTGTAATTACACGAAAGTATAGGTGCCGGGTTTTTATACTTGAAGGGTATTTTCGTCTTTTGTCTCTCGTGGGTATATTTGACTGTTTGGTGAATTTAGTTTGGAAGATGGGTTATAAGAATAAGTGGAAGTATATATACGAGGCTTGAATTAGACGAAAGGAAATATTTGTTGTTTCTTGATGATCTTGACATTATTTTTTTGATTTATAATATTTGAATTCAATTCTTTGATATTTTGTTATTGACTTTTTATTACAAGAGACAGGACTGGTTGACTCCTTTTGACTTTGTATTTTGGAACTAAAGAAGGCTGTAGGACATGTTTGGCTTTGGCCATGTCAACAGTAAGTCAAATAAGGCCAAGAATTCATCATAAATTGATAAGATCATCTTTCAAATAAGGTTCATTTAATAATACATCGATTAAATTACAGTTTTCGTCAATGTGGCTGCAGTTTCAGTCGAACTTTAAAAACTTTAACAAGCACCGATATACCCGTATTTTTGTATTTTATAATATTTTAACAAATCAATAAACTCTAGGGGATCATTTTTGTAAATTAAATAAAAGAAGCCCTAAAAGCGATGAGGCTTCACGTTTTCTCCACGGCTTCCATCTTGGCAGCTACAAACTCAGGCATCACCTAAGCTAGACTTCACTGGTTGATACCTCCGACATGGATGCCCTCCTTTCGACCATTGCTACAGTCGTCTCCCTCCGACATTGTTGCTCTCTCACTAACATCCAAATCGATTCGCAAAGAGTTGTGGATCAAGTATAGTTTTCTCCAAATGGTTGTTGGACTTCCGACGGTTATGGTGATGCGGTGGTGTTGATTTTCTGATGGCAGCAATGGTGATGTGGTGATGATAGTTATGATCGGTGGTTAGTTTTCGACATCAATTAAGTGGTGGTGGTGGTATGACGATGTGGTGGTGTTGGTATTGGTGATCCGACAAGGTTATATTCATTATAAGACTTTCGTTTAAATGATTCCAAAATTATATCCACTTGGAGTGTTTGTTGTGTTTCTAGTTGATATGACTAAGACGATAATGCAACATACATGTCTTCTCAAAATCACGTTTGAATGAATCGATATTGAACTATTGTTGCTACTTATTCTTATGTTAGTCTTATAAATGCCATTAAAAACGTTTTCTTTAAAATAAGTAAGACATTTTATTAACATAATTTAGAACAATTTTCTTGAAAAAGTCAAAACCATCTCTATAAAGCATAGATAATGTATCTTACCATATTAGACAAATAGCAATAGATAATATATCTTACCATATTAGACAAATAGCAACAATTCCATTTAAAACCAAAGATCAAACATAAGAAAGAAATTGTTCCTTCCTAATCCTATAGACACCCACAATTTGTCATTGAGGCCACAAAAACATCTGAGGAAGCCTCTATCACCAAGTACCACCCCGTATAACAAAACCTAATGGGCAATGAAGCGAGTCGCCACTAGATGTTCCCAAAGAGAATACTTCCACAAAACACCATGTGTCAGTCGAAGTGTGTAATCCTTTGTCAAAGAGCAATGCTGCCTCTTTCACGTGTACACATTGACGCATCCTCAAACTAAAGAATAGTGTGACAATGCCCATGCAAGATCACAACAAAATGAGCCAACTTTGGAATCACAAATCTTCGTGGCTAACTCGTAGAAAAAACTCGTGTTAGGCTGGGAAAGAGAAGAAGATTTTTGAAATCAATGGATAATCTGGTTCTTCTTGAAGGATCGTGAGATCACTTTCTGAATATGATATTTAACCCTATGCATGGTTACACGAAATCTAAATTATCCGGATAATTCTTCAAAGAATAATCTCAAATCAAAGCATCGATAAAGCCAAGGAACTAGGGTTTTATAGAATTCAGATTCTTCTTATTACCAAAGATAAACATCCATCAACATTAAATGCTGATTTTATCCCTTAATTAAAAGAAGACGATTTCAAGATAATCATAAAGAAGCTTATCTTGATAGATGTTTGGTTTGAACTCTTTTGGTAATCTACAACCTAAAAATCTTTACCGTAATCCTTTAATAAAAAATAATGATTATGTAAGGTTGTAATAAGGAATAAGAAAAAGTATAATATAGATAAAAATTAAAAACTACTTTGTATATTTTTTTTCCAATAGTATTATATAGATTTATATGTTTTTTTGGTATGTACCAGTGTATGATAACCCAAAGAGTTAACCTACTCACAATTTAACTCAACCGGTTAACATCTACTTCTTTTCAAATTTCATCGAGTAAAAATTGGCACCCTTCCATTACACACAACAACCCCGTAAGCCGTAAAATACCCAAATTATGGCCACCACCACCAACACCGGCGCTAGCGCCACCGTCGATCCCGATCAACCACCGCCTCTCCCACTAGACTCTATCCCCATCATCGATCTTAGACTTCTCTCCCAATCAGAACTATTTTCCCTTTCCATGTGCTCCAATTCCTCATTCGATCGCAACCGCTGTGACGACGTTGTAATCCCCAAAATCGACCGGTCAGTTTTCAATGAATCCGCCGGTAGCCGTAAACAAACTTACTCACGCCTTCGCCTTGCCCCCGCCCAGTCCTCCACGTCCACCAAAACCACCATTCACCGCCGTACGCCTCGCCTACGTTCGTCACATACACCCACTCCTAACAACATTAATGACGCTGAACAAGCCGAAAACTCTCAGATCATTCGTATGTTGAAGGAGCTCTTTAAATCAGATCATAATTTCGGGGAGTTAGTTCCGTTTGAAGTCGAACTAGACACCAATGTCGTAGTGCCTATATCATTGAATCCCGAGACGAATCGAAAACGAGGGAGACCACGAAAGCATGATGATGCGGTTTTCATTGGTTCTCCGGACGCCAAGAGAATGCGTAATAATACAGTTAAGAAAGTAGTTGCTTACGATGCTGTTGGAGATATAGAACTGGTGAATTGTAGAGGCGTGAAAGTAAACTTGGAGAATTTGGGGATGTTGGAGGATCCATACGGGCTCGAAATTAGGAGGAGGACCGAAGGACTGTCGACTAAAGATGAGTTGTTAGGGTTTTTGGGAGGTTTGAATGGAGAGTGGGGGACTAGTACAAAGAAGAGGAAGGTCGTCGATGCAAGCTATTTTGGAGATGCTTTGCCCAAAGGCTGGAAGCTGAGCCTCTCTATCAAGAAGAGATCAGACCTTGTTTGGTTATTCTGTCGTCGTTACATAAGGTTTGTTCTCTCTCCTTTTCTTTCATAGTTTCAGTTTTTATCATGTAGGTATAGTTTTTTCATTTCTATTCATGTTTGAACTTTGAATCTAATAGCTATATGCTTCTTGAATGTATTCTGATGATAAACAGCCCTAGTGGTATGCAATTTGAGTCGTTCAAGGAAGTATCTATGTACTTGCTTTCCCTTCTCGGAGAAAAAAACTTGGATAAACCAACTCACATTCCAAGCAACAGTCGTGATGATTTTGGATCAAAAGGAGCTTCTATGAATGTAAGTTGGTATCTGCAGTTAGTTTCTTTTTTCTTTTTTCTCTTTTCCTCTGTTCTTTGTTTTCCTTAGTCCTTTTTGTTTCCCCTCTTTATCATTATATATTTATATTATAAACTTTTCTCAGTTGCTTCTTTTAACTTTTTTTCTTTTCAATTATCCATAGCGGAAAGATGTTTCTGTTCGAGTAGATGCAAGAAGAAGCAGGCCTATTGTATTAGCACTGTCAAGTAGAGACTTTAAGAAGGAAGTCAAATCCAACACTGTGGATCCCATTAATGTAAAAGTAGTAGAGTTTTTCAAGTGCCTCAACTGCTTCATGATCTTTGAAGGAAAAGTTGATCTATTTGACCACCAGATGTTAGCCCACAAAACTGAAAGATCTCAACTTGATTCTGCAACTTCTGAATGGACTGTAGTAAAAGGTGGAATTTTTGAGTGTCAGTTTTGCAATAAGACATTTAATGAAAGAAACCGGTATAATGAACATATTGGGACACATGGGACAAATGAAACCAAGTATGAAGCATCAGAAGCTCCAACTGCAGAAAAGACTGTCAACCCTATATTATCTGCTGGAGTTCATGACAATGTTTTAATGGAAACTGATAATGCACCTTTTGGTGGTAAACTGACATCTGCTTCTCCTAAAAGTGATCATAAGATAAGTTCTGCAACAGAATCAGAAGTCAATGAGCATGTTCATGACCTTAACATTTTGGATAAAGATATTAAGGGTGAACATGTTAACATGAATGAAGATGTTTCAGTTGAAGAATCTGGTGGTGAGATTGAAAAGGAAACTGATGATGCACCTTTTGGTGATAAATTGATATCTGTTTCTCCTCAGAGTGATCAAAAGAGAAGTTCTGGAACAGAATCAGAATTCAATGATCATGTTCATGATGAGCTTAACATTCTGGATCATGATAATCAGGGTGAGCATGTTAACATGAATGAAGATGTTTCAGCTGAAGAATCTAGTGGTGTGATTGTAAAGGAAACTGATGATGCACCTTTTGATGATAAACTTATATCTGCTTCTCCTCAAAGTGATCAGAAGATAATTTCTGGAACAGAATCAGAATTCAATGATGATGTTCATGACCTTAACATGAATGAAGATGTTTTAGTTGAAGAATCTGGTGGTGAGATTGAAAAGAAATGTCATGAAGGTGAAAATGAATTCCTTGAAAGAGACAAATCTCCTGAAGTTTCTGAATCTAAATCTGATTTCTCATTAGGCCATGAAGCTTCTATCGATGAAAGCAATGGGAAGCTTGAAAGTTGTGTTGTAACAGTTGATTCCATTGATATTGTTGAGAAAGATATAGTTGGTATATCCAATGGTGAAGCTGCACATGTTGATGAGAATCCAGAATGCATTCTTGAAGAAGGAATAAGTTCTGAAAAAAGTCCTCTTCTTCAATCTACAAATGAATTATTAGATAGTATTGAGAAAGATAGTGTTGTGGTGCTCAATCTTGCAGATTCTGAAATTAGGGTTCCGCCATCATCAAATATCTGTGAAGAAAAGGGCTTTCAGGAAAACATTAATGATACACAACACATTTGTAGTCCGTTTGATGAATTGACATCTGAAAAGGAGGAACTTATTAATGAGAATCGTGTGGCTGAAGTGAATAAGCTTTTTGATTCAGAAACTCTTTTCCTTGATTCTTCACACAACACAAGCCTGAAAGATTCTCCTGAAAAACTAGGGTTTGACTTTGAGGAAGATAGATTTTGTTATGGAATTGGCAATTCCAGAGTTGAAGATATCGGGAACAAGAGCAAGGGTGAGGAGCCTCAGACACAAATGATTATGGAAGATTTTGAGCTTGAGAATGATGTAAACATGAACAATGTTTCTTCTTTAAACAGGTCAACAGAAGTCAACTTAGACGACTTCCAGATTCCTTCTTTGGGCAGCAGTCAAAACGACCTAAATCTTGAATTTTGTTCACTTGTCCCCACTGGGAACCAGCAAGAATTCAGCTTCCAAGATGATGATGTAACTGGTATTTACGAAAATGCCCATGAAGGGTCTGAAAGTGGACTGCTTGATCATTTCTCCATCACCGAAACCTCGGTTTCAGATGATCTTTTTGGGAATAATTCTTCATATTCCACACCACTGGATGCGTTTAAATTCGATGAAGAAAGAGACATTGGTGGGAATGGGATCCATGAGTTAAGTCTTAATTTTGGCAACTCCTCACATGGTATTGGTCTGTATGAAAATACAGCCAATTTGAACCAGAAAAAAGATGATGTTCAAACCAATTTGACCATGGTTAACATCAACAATGAGATTGAAACTCAAGGTTTTGCTCATAATAATACCAATATGGTTTATCCACAAGTTGTGGCTAATCAACAACAAAGTGGTAATCGAGTTTTTAGAGTTGATGAAAGGTATAATAACAATAATAGTAATAATAACAATGGTTTTGGTTTTAATCTGAATGGGTTCAGATCATCATCATCAAGTAGTAGATCTGAACCTGTGGAATTCAGATTCCTAACAGGTAGATCTCAACATATCATGAATCCACATCATCATCATCTTCAAGGGGCTTCTTCTGAGGTTTTTCCATACAATAATAATAATAATAATAATAATAATAATAATAATACAGGGATTATTGGGATGGATCAAGGTTTTGGTTCGGGGTTTTGGAGTGGAAAGAATGGAATGGGGGGTAGAAATGTAATTACAGGTGTATGTGCATGGTGTAGAAATGAATTCCATATGCAGCAGCCTGAAGTACAAGGACAAGGTGGTGGAATTGGTTCTTTATGCCCGAATTGCAGTGGCCAAGTCAACATGTTGTAGCTATCTGTGGTTTGACTAAGTCTAAGGTGACGTGTACATAGTCATGGATATTGTTAGACTCTTGAAATATCATGAATTGGTAGTTATCTCTTTTGAAACTGAATGTTGAAGGAAAAAGCTTAATTATAAGTGGACTCTTTTTCCTTTATTAGTATTATTGTCCTAATGGTACAACATGAACCTTGATTATGAAATTAAGAAGCCTTTTAGATTTTTGTATAAAATATAGATAAATAAATAAATGAAAATAAATGAAGTATACCTCTATCGTGCATGGTGTTATGCTGATGTGGCTACTCATAACCCAAGTGAACTGTGAACAATGTGAACAATGCATGAGTGAAAAGTGAAAACCCGTTTTACTACTCATCATAACTTACATGGCTATTAATAATATTTATATAATATGCATAAAGGGGAAAGATAGGGTATATAAGTAATAAGATGAGAAATACATTAAGACGATTATAATAGCATAAGATTTTTAATAAGATGATCATCTGTTTATTTTAATTTTACATAAAATGATTACCAATTTCGTATTGCAGATTCAAAACTTCAAAAGATGGTTACATTTCCTCAACTTTATACAATCTTTTTAAAAAAATCTTTCAACCTAACGTTCGATTTTCACATTAATAAATTTCTTTTTGGTGTGAAATTGATATTTGATTATTCTCACAACGACAAAAAAGAAACTTCTAACTCTTTTGATAAAAAAAAGGTGTGATTTTCATGTTAACAATTTCGCAGCATATGAAAAACAATGTCACAGCATAGAAAGAATAATTCCGCAATATATAATTTTCTTTTTTAGTTGTTTAGTAAATGGTAAATCAAGGTAGATGAGCCACGATAAAACATGGTATAAGAAAAGAATGGATATAATAAAATAAGAAAATAAACAACTCAATTATTAAATACATTAAAATTAGTTATTGTAACTAACAACCATCCTAATCAAATAATTATTTAAAAAAATACAGCCGAATACATTTTAAATGTTAATATTATAACATTGATTCTTGTTCTAGTTCGCATCTACTCTCCTAAATAATTATTTTGTTAATATTAGATGTCTATGTAGTAGACTGACCAAGATTCCAAAATGTAAGCCTACCAAAAAAGAAAAAAAAAAAAATCTATTTTTCCAAGTGGGTAACAATATTATCATTCTCTCAAGACTCTGAAACGCAAAAAACCCCTCGTTTGATTCACACCAACACAACCCATTCGCTGTTTTTGGTTTCTTCGTTTACCCTTTTCCCATAAATTCAAAATTATCAAAGGTTTTCAATTCATACCCAAATTCATTTCAATCTCATAGCCTCAACATTACCCGTTGAGGCTCATTCTGTTCTTCAATCCTGAGGGTTTTTTTTCTTTTCAATTGATTCTGTTTACCTGTGTATAAATATGTCGAAATCATCAAAACTCTTGAGTCCAACAAGGATTTCTCAATTTGGGTTCGTTCTAATTGTGATTGTTGCTAGGCTAACATGCGCAGATGAGAACCCTAGGGTTTCTAATTCTATTTGTCATCCCAAATCGATTAACGATTCAATTTTTGGTTCCCAAGCTCCGGTTTGTCCTTTGAACGGGATTGATTATTCTTTCGGTGTTCTTGGTGTTATTGAGGTACGTACGCACACTTGAAAGCTCACATATTCACTTCTCGATTTATCTTACAGCTGCTCTTTGATTTTACATAATAAAATTGGGGGTTTTCGGTATTTCAGGTATATGAGTTAGCTTCCTGTATTTCATTGTTATGTATTAGGATGATCACATTGGTTAATGCATTCAATTTGATTTGCATCATTACTTGATGGATACAATTACAAGAAATCATGATGTTCGTTTGAATGTTGCAATGATTTTGGGAACTTTCTGCAAATCTTTATTTTCAGGGAGATGAAACGTCATTGCAAAAGGCATTATCTATGGTTCATAAGAATGCTGGAAATTACGTTGTTGTCCTCTTCTATGCATCATGGTGCCCTTTCTCAAGAACATTTAGACCAACTTTATCCCAAATGTCTTCCTTGTATCCTTCCATAGCTCATTTTGCCATTGAGGAATCTGTCATAAGGCCAAGGTTACATTTTTACCATTGATTGGTTATTTATTATTATTATTATTTTATTTTTAAATATATGAATAACACCACAAAATTTGCATACAGCATACTCTCGAAATATGGTGTTCATGGATTTCCTACTCTCTTTGTCTTGAACTCAACAATGCGTGTTCGTTATCATGGCTCAAGAACCCCTACTTCTCTTGTGGCTTTTTACACTAATGTTACAGGTAACTTCACTTTTTATTTAATTTCTTATGGGATTTATGTTAAAAAAAGGAAAATGTCCGAAAAATATCGCATTATTTCATTCATACGAAAAAACCCCATGATATTGAATGTTTTGGAATGTCCGAAAAGCACACCCTATTATAGGCATCTTATTGAAAAGACGCAATATGGAGGTTTTAAAAGTCAAAGAATTTAATAGAGTTTTTTTTTTTTTTTTTTTTTTTTTTTTTTTTTCCCAATAAGATGCCTATAATTGGTTGTACTTCTCAAATTTTCCCTTAACTAAGGGCTAATCACAAAAATAACCAAAAATGGAAAGTCAATATCACAAAATAGCTACATCCTCTCAACTTTTATCACAAAAGAACAACATATTTTGTGAAATACCTTTTTATAACCAAATTGCTTTTGCGGGCCCCACTCTATATTGACTTCCTTTTTTTATCTTAACCTAATAAAAATGGTAAATTTACAAATAGATGATTATCATTTAACACTAATCATATTTTATTTATAGGTATTAAAGCCGAATCTGTTAATGCAACATCCCTTGGTGAAACAATACACGAACACACAAATCAAAACAACATCAACGAGCCAGAAAACTGCCCGTTTTCATGGGCAAAATCACCCGAAAACATGTTCAGACATGAAACATACCTAACATTAGCCACCATTTTTGTGGTTTTAAGGTTGTTTTACTTAGGTTATCCGTTTATCATCACATGTGCACGTGTTTCTTGGAGAAGAAGGAATGTAAACATTCGGTTAAAAACATTGTGGGAGCACCCATTGGCTTACATGAATCGTGCAATACAGTTATTCACTTCATTGACTGAGCCTTGCAAGAGAAGCAACCTTCATGGAGCCATGAATGCAAAAGCTGCATGGGCTTCAAAGTCTTTGGCTTCGGTGTCTTTTGGGGAGGCGAGTACTAGCCGTGATGGGTCCGGAAGTTGAGGGCGATTTGGTAATTTCCTTTTGGGATGTAATTTGTTTCTTGATAAGGAAGTTTTATGTCTAATTGGGTTCTTTGTGAAATGTAGATTACAATTTGTTTGATAGAAAAAGAATTGTTGTGTACTTGTTGTTGGTTGTAAATGTGTAAGAGACCAATTCACCTTTCGAAATCTGACTTTTATGCCTTTTTTTTTCTCTGTGTTTAAATTAAAAATATTTAACGTGTAGTTTTGTTAATTGGGGTGTTGTGATAATGGAGATTGGATAGAATATAGATGATTATATATATATAAAAGGACGGCGAGAACCTTACTTGGAATATCCATAGTGATATCCACTTTTTGTTCCATGACCAAAGAAAGTTATTCAATAAACAAATGTTACTTCGATTTTTGATATAAAAAAGGTTGAGATTCTTTAAAGCTAGTCATCACAAAGATAATCAAACTCAAAGAAACAAGTTAATAAGTACATTTTACCCATGAACAAGATTCAAATGTTAAAAGAAACCAGTGTTTATGGTTGTGTAACTCAACCAATCCTAAACAAATTAGGGTGTTTGTTGAGGCTAAAATATAATCAAGACAGAGAACTATACTATGGGAGATAAATCAACTCATTCAAGCTGATAAGAAAAAGTTATGAGGGTCGGAATATGGGCAAAAAGTTCTGAAAAATACTAGAAAAAAACATATAAACATAATAATAGAAATTAGCAAATTACCTTTAACTTCATACTTGAGAAATACACCTTCCAAATCCTTGACAATTGTAAATAAGTCGTAAGTTGAGTTCCACGGTAGTGGACAATCATGGCAAAAAGATATCTTCAATCCCATACCAAGTTCTTTAATGCGATTTTTAAACCTTGTAATTCGTTGGGTTTAATATATTTTTATCTTCAAAAGTCCTTTTTGCAAAAGAACTTTTTGTAAAAGGATTTTTTACAAAAGATGTTTTTAAAAATGTATTTGGATTAGCTTTTGAGAAACAAAAGTCAAAAATTGTTTTTAAAAGGTGTGGTTTAACTTTTACATGTAAAATGACTAAAAAGGATATTCTTATATATTTATAATTATTATTAATTTACATATACTATTTTCTACTTAACAATTTTTTTCAACACATATTATAATTTTGTAAACATTTTATTAGAAAATATAAAATATAGATTTCTTTTAAATATTCCTAAATTTTTTATTATACCATTAAAAAATGTTCATACAAATTATAAATAATTCATAAAAAATATCATAAATAATATTACATTCGTCTTCGCAATGTGTTTATATCTTGTGCAATAATATCTCGTATTGCTGCCATATATAAATCATCATCACTCGTGCGACGTGTACTTGGACCCTCTTCGTAAACTTCGCTACTAGTATCACTTTGTATGGGATTCTAGGATTCTTGTTGTGCCCTATTAAACGCTTCATCAAACTTACCAAGCTTTCTAAAATAGTTATGGATCGCCATCGATGCTATCACAATTTTAACTTGGTTCTTATACTTGTAATTAACATGCATGTCTCTTAATAACGCTCACCTAGCTTTCTACACTCCAAAAGTTCGTTCAATGATATTCCGCAATGATGAGTGGAGATAGTTAAATTTCTCTTTCGGTCCACTAGGTTCACGAACATCAGCTGAGTGTCCACGTCGAAAATCCGGCAAATGATAACGAATATTGGTGCCTTTGTATGGAGCAAGATACCTTCTAGTATTTGGATATCCAGCATCAACAACGTAATATTTATCTGTAATTAAAACAAACAAATTATTTTTTCCTTTCAAAAAAGTAGTAAAAGTATAAAACTTGTGTTCCAAAAAAAAACTCTAACCACCAGTTGGATATGGAAAATTAAGATTCGAATGCTGTAGGGCTTCATTGAAAATCCTTCAAATACAAAAATATATTATAAATAAATCATTTGTTAAAGTTTGACTACTATGAAAATGAACATTAGATAATACATTGAACATTGGATAATACTGAGGGCTATTCAATATATATTAATGAACATCATTATTATAGTTTGCGTCTGGCTTGATAATGTCGGCACTCAGTTTTAGCACGACTTTCAAAACTGTATGGAAATGCCTATGAATTGTTTCCCCCGAATGATTAAAAAACTCTTGCACAAATCTATTGCTACACCCATGAGCCAACGTCATCAAGAATATTCCTACATATTCCTCAATAGATATATTTCGTGTTTGTTGTAGCCCGTAATTTGTAGCAAAATCTGCGCATAACTGTCTAAAAACCGGTACGTGCAATCTAAACATCTCATAACACCATCTAGGATGTTCATTTAGTACTTCGTTAATAAACATGTGTCCTGTGCGGTCTGAAGTGTGAAAAGTTAGTATCAAAAGATCTTTTACATTTACCAAACATCTTTTATCCCATTTTAACTTTTTGTAAAAGATAAAATCTAAAAGTTGCTTCAAAAAGATCAAACGAACACCCCCTTGGATTAAAAAGTCAATTACCTTATCATTGGAAGTAACATTATTTACTGTGATATTCATCAAATTCGTGACACCCTAACAATGAATGTAAGCTAATACATCAAATATGATGTCATCTCCTTTATGACTATCTATAGGTCTAAAGTTAATGATTCTTTTGTTCATAAACCAATTTTCATCAATGAAGCGTGTTGTGATTACCATAATCATATGACACAAGTTAGTTTTGTGGTCAAATGTACCATATTAAGTGGACTACTTAAGAAATTAATCAAATTATTTCTTTCATCAACATAGTAATTTGCAACAACTTTTGAAATTTTATGTCACGATGGCAAAACGACTTTCCTATGAAGTGAGCTAGTAAACTCAACAAAGGCTTCATTTCAACAAACTTAACTGTAGTTCACCCACAAAAAAACAAGACACAACCTTTTTTATTCTTTTTTTTTCATCATGCTTCTAAGTAGACAAGCTTCCATCCCTACAATCTTCTTTTTTGAATTACAAATGTTATGTGATTTTTTTTTTTGCAACTATTCATATACTTCCTTAAACGAGATGCAACGTTCTTCTTTGTATCAACTTTAATATTCGCAGAGAAAAACTTATAGTTTTCATACTTTCATTATTCTCAATCATTGTCTTTAATAAGACCATGTCAAAGGATTCCAAGCATCCAACCTCTCTTTACTTTCCTCAACTTGTCGATTTATTTTCGAGTTTTTTGCACAATGTTTTCTTATTTTGTGTTTTCAACAAATATATCACCATCATTATCTCAAACACACATTACAATTCCAATCATTAACAAGAATGATATACTCCAACTCCATGAATGAATATACATCATAAAACTTGAACAAAATTGAATTTGAATGATACATTCCATTCCATTAATCAATAGACATTTAAGATATACTTGAACAAAATTGAAAAATACTTGAATGTGATGAAAAATTGAAAACTTACTGGAAATTCTTCGTTGGAGGCAACCAAATAACATGAAATAACTTGAAAAGAACTTGATATTTGGTTGATTTTTTATCTTAATTTCTAAAAAAACAAGATTGATGTTGGTTTGATTTGTGGTAGTCAATGTTGACATATGAGAGAATGGAGTTGTGAATGTTAAGTTTTGGCTAAATGAATGAATAGTAGTTTGCATCCCACATCGGTGGAAGAAGGAAACTTGGAAGGACTCGATTATTATAAAATAAGTCTAAGCCTTTGGTTTCAAAGTGCCCAAATCAATACACTTGAAGTATTTGATTCTTTCATTCCTCTCTTTTGTTTTGGGGAGTGTAGAAACATGATAGTCAAACTTGTGGAGAGTGTGGGTGTAATTTGGAGGGAGGCATTTTTATGAAAAGTTTTTATTTTTTTTTTATTTTTTTTTATTTTTTTTTTATTTTTATAAAAAAAGATTATTAGGACATGGGTAGTATTGTACTTCATACAAAATTCAACCCAAAATTAGGTAGAGTTTTTAAAATACAATGTTATAATACATGGAAAGGAAGCTAACAAAAACAATAATAAACAGTCCAATGGCATTGACTCTTTGTCACCAAAGATTTATTCTAGTTTAACCATGAGATCTTCAAATGAATATTTGGAATTTGGTTAGTCTTATAAGGTCATTAAGTTCATGTTGCATACTTGTTTCTATTTCAATCAACTATAGACAACAATTATATGTTGTCTTATAATCCCGCATTGTACAAAGGAGATATTTAGAAACCAGGAATGCCTTTGTAATCATCTGAGTCACCTTATTCACACCCTCATCCATTTTAGCAATTGTTTCTTACACCTTATTTAATTTGATTAGAGTAATAAATTAGAGGGGAGATATATATAACTATTTTTCAGATGATAGCAAAGTAGTATAAGAAACCACGATGAACTTACAGAAAGAACGAGTTTGTTTCACCGTAATGAAGTTAAAGTATTTTCTAAAAAGTTATCTTTGCGAAATGGTTTTTTTGTTCTTTCTTGCACCCAATTTACATCCATATTAGATCATTAGAATCAAAACTTTGATACATAAAAAAAGAGATGAAAGATTAAAAGAGTTGAACTGACAAAATAGAACAAAAATCCATCTTTTTAATGAAAGGGTTTTTCTTCATTTAATATCCTAATGTAGCAAGTTTCACTTGCATCCCGGTCGAGACACTACATATATCACAACAAGAAGCAAAAATTAGAGCCGACCTTTGTTTTTTTAGAGCAAATTCTACGATGTTAATCAATCTTGTTGATAAAGGATGATTAATTAGTTGCAACATGTTATCCAAAGAGAATTGATGACTCGCTAGATTTCATTTCAAGTTGAATGCTACAATTGGATAAAAATTTTAAAGTACAACCCCTTAATTAGAAAAAAAAATAAAAGTAAGATTTTAACTAGTTGTAACATGTGATCAAAATAAAATCTATAATCAATTAGGTTTTGTTTCAAGAAGAATGGTATATCTTATAGAATTTTCAAAGCATGTTACCTTAATAAAAAATAAACATAAGATGTTGTAATAGAAGGAAATGAAAGGACAAATATTTAGTTAACATTCTGACAATGTGTTATTAATTGCAACTATCAACACCAAATTTACGTGATTAATTATTAAAGGTGAAACTTGGATCAAACGACATTGGCACTACACAAACTGATAAATCTTTCATTATTGGTATTCTATTTTGGAAACAACTTTGATGCCTAAAAACCTCCTCAAAACAAATATACTTTTTAGATGACGAGTCATAGAGTTGCTCAGACGAACACCTGAACTACGAGTGGAGCAATAAACATGGTTGAGGTAAACGTATGTTATCT